AGAAATATAAATAGCAACCCTCGTACCAGTTTTAAAATTATGGGCACATTGAATGCAAAATTGAAATTAAATATTAACTTTATAATCCATTTCTAGAAAAATATGGATAAACGTATGTTTATAGACGTCTATCCCATCTAATTCATTTTGTATAATTTAATTAAGAAACAATGAATCAAACAGCCTTTAGAGACTTTGCGTAGCCTTTTAAATAATCGCTTTATGAGGCACGATTTTTGCCTATAATATTAAAATAAATATAGGTTGTTTTTCTTCTCTTTTTTCTTTTATTTTCGAATTTCAATCCTAAATAACTTAATCTTTCTCTTTTTTCCAGCAAATTTTATACTACTGCTTAATTTTTATGTAATCAACATTTGCGACTATCCTCTAAAGAAGTTTAAATAACTATTTTATTTTCTGATTCCATAAATTTGATTTATAAGAAGTTTTATTGCGCGTGACTCTTTGAAACGAGGAGACTACGGCTTTTTTTTCAATTTCATCAAGATTACTAAAAGAAAATATTTTTTTAAACTCTCAATACTAGAATTAAATTTTTAAAATTAAAACAAAATACGAATGTCACCGGCATGTTGCTCTTCAGAGTACGAAAAATACGAGGCCAAAAGCGAATCCACACGGCGATTTAGACTATAAATTTTTATATAGTAGTTCATCAACTTGAAACTATGATCAAAGTCAAAAAGTTTTCTTTCGAGAGTATGCTTGAAAAAATCGAGGAAACAATTCCATTGGAGCAATTTTCTTTCCATACAATTTCATTTTTATAATTTGAGAAATATATAGTACTTTATACAACGATATACTATATAATATTACATTATGCTACATTGGATTTAAAACTTATGCCCCTAATCCAAAACTTGAAATGCTATTCAAATTGATATTACCAACTAAATGCTTTCATTTTTGTTTTAGATCTGTCCTTCATGGATCCTGATCGAGCAGATCAGCAAGTTTTACTGTCTTTCAGTCAATGCTATCATGCATTATATTTACTACAGCAGAAAATAAAAATTCTCCATGATCAGGTAATACATGTATGTTGTTTCATATGCTATTTAAAAAATCAATGACGTTAAACACACATTACCCAATCACGGCCGAGCACCTATCCAGTGGCTAATTTATTATAAGGCCTGAGAGGCTCAAGTCTGGGGGGCCCCGCCTTTTTTACCCCCCCCCTTAATGTTATAAATAATTCCTTTTCGTGATTTTCCTTAAGAATTGTCTATTAGAGTTATGAGTTAAAAAATTTAAATAAATATAATCTCAAATTTGCTAATATATCGAAATTTACTTGTGTTATAAATAGTTTAAAGACACTTCATAATTAAACATGTAAATTTAGTTTAAAGTAACGATCAGGGGACCCCTGACATTTCGGTGCCTAGGACCATTCCTAGATCAGGCCCTGCACATAACCTCGTTTTCTTAGAGTTCTTCTATTAATCAGCTTATCTAGATGGCTATAGATAGAATACCACGTAATTTTTTACACGACGACTTGTACAGTGTCTGAGCTGGGATCCCTCTCTTGAAACTTCCACATCACAGTCAACGAGAGGAGGAAGACAATGCGGATTTAATGCGCACCTTGGAGTGATTAACTCCTTAACAGTGATGCGAACATTCATAATTTTATAATATTTTTGGTACCAATCGTTTGATTAGCTCATTTTACGAAGTAAATATTGATTACTATTTGTTTCGAACGTCATAAATATATCAATATGATAAATTATCATTTATTTACAGAATGTTTAGTTTTTTATAAACAAAAGGCAAATCAATTACTAGCGAAATTTTTCTGCATGCTTTGTGAACATCAGACAGCACTATCGATAAACCCGTAACGCAATGCAAAATCTCTTTAATATTTGACGAAAGTCACGTAATCGAGTAAATATAAAGGAATCACTTTTCTTGAACAAGAATAATACTATGCCATAAAGTCAAGAGTTTGAAATTAAGAGGTTTAAATTTTAGTTCTTGATATTTCGACATTTTTACATAAGTTATTTTTTTAATAAAGCCCAAAAATATAACATCGTAGACTAAATTTAGTGCAAAGATAGCATTCACTATTTAACACCCATTAAAGTAGTATGTTTGTAAACCTTAATATCATTTTTGGACTTTAGTTTTAAAATATTTTTGCTCTTATTTTTAAATTTATTTCCCTTACTATAATTAAGAACAATTAATACTTTATGTGAAACTTACGTTAAGTTTCTTTTCTAGTTTTGAACGAATTCGAAATGCTATGTTTAAATATTTTGCAATATTTAATTTATAGTTTATTGTATGCATTATTTTCATATTAGAATGTGGGCACAGCCCCTAAAAATATATGGTAGCATAATTTTGTTTTTCTTTTTGTTACTAGTGATTAATATAAAACTTTAGACCTCTGATTATATAATGAAACTCGTAAATTTCTGACCTAATTTTACGAAAGAGGCTAATTTGTTACGTTGGGTGCGAATTTTTTGTTCTCTTCAACATATAAAATAATTTTGCTAAAGCTTTTTACTTATCCGAAATAAACCATTGCATTGGTAGATTTCGCTGGCCAAGAACTAAATTCCATTATCATAGTTGCTTTTGTTTTATAGATGGAACGGATTAAAGGAACTACACAAAATTTACATTCAAAGTTTATATTTCATCCCGCCAATCACAAACCATCGATGCACAGCTCATTTGCATCAAATTCGTTTCCACCGCTCTGCATTTTCCCACCAGGCACACCTGAATCTTTGAATTCACCAGCTCGATGTGCATTTTCTTTTGAACCAATTTGTCTTTCTGAAGAATCTCTGTCCAATAGATCGCCATCACTTAAAATAGAAGAAAGCAGCGATGGATACAATGACCAGAATCCTCTCTTCAAAGAAAACAAGATGATAACAAAGGTATGATCTAACTTCGGGTATCATTAGTTTTATTTTATACTATGACTGGTGTTGAACAGTCAACCCAATTTTTAGTTTACGTCTATCTATGTTAAATTTGTAATTTTGAACCCAACCCAGATGATAAGGGAACTTCTGGAGTAAGCTCTAGTGCAAAAACTTCGTAAAGGATTTTTAAATGTACTAACTCGCATTTGCGTTAGATAGAGAGGAAAACCGCGAAAATGTCTCATGATTAGCCCGATGGCAGGTGGTATTCTAACCCATGATCTGTCTACCACTGAGCAAATTTTACGTCAGCACTGAGGTCGGTGCGATCCGGGAACAGAATTTATATCAACCAGGGTCATACCAGCCAGGTTCAAACCTGGCTGGTATGACCTTAAATTTATTCTTCTTCTTATTATTATTATTATGAAGTAAGCAATANTTGGAATGATCTAGTTCGAAATAGAGTCTGATATATCATTAACAGATTTCTGATTTATTATTTCTAAGCAAGATTTGGGCTTAACTTGAGCCCACATTTATTTTAGCTTCGAACTTAAGAGGCCTTTTCCCTTGCAACCGAATTCAACTGTCAAAGGGGTGTTGGTGAGGAGAAGTTAAAGATGTTTTTAATCATCTTTATTTAATTTTTTCAAAAAAAAAAGGGAAAAAATGAAGAAAAAAAACGAGTTTCATCCAATTTTTCTCAAAATTTTCGCCAGATTCCTTTTTCAATTCAATTTATGAATAAGAAGTGTAGTACAATTTACGGAAGCAAAATATAAAATTAATTAATCATACCAAGTCAACAAGTAACTTCATATTATTTTGGAGAAAGAAAAAAAACATTTCCGAACGATTTGGAGACTTTTTAATGTATTGTTATGTATTATAAATGTTTAATGTTATGTATTATAAATTAGAAATATTATTGATTATTAGTATGAATTATAATAAATCTTGTTTAACAATCGCGAAATCAAATGATAACTGACAATAATTTGAAGTACATTTTAAGCAGAACTTGATTTGAAACAATATAACAATGCACTGATTTTAATAAACATTTTATTTATTTAATACAGATAATACTAAATGCCTCTTCAGAAAACAGTAGTTCCGAGGATGATAGTGCTGCGGAAAAATTGCCCAATCCATTTCGACAAATGTTCGACAGGCAAGTAATAAAATGTTTTCTTCATTTTTGCAACTTTTTCATTACTCTATTAAAATCATTGCTCTATTAATTCTCCTATTTTGATTACATACACTTTATTTCGTCTAATTTGAATTGCTGTAAACTTTTTTTTTATTCTAGTCGGCGGATATCCCACAGATTAGAGCTAGAACAAGAATTGGAAGAAATTTTGAGCTTAAAATAAAACATTTGAAGTGGCTTTTGGAAAAAGCGAAATTCATGTTAATGCCTTTTTGACGTTTCACACATATATTCGTTCATAATAAACTTAATAAATTACGCTTATGAACTGTTTAGTTTAATATTTTAAACAAGTTCACATCATTACACATTAATTTTAACAAGAAGAGACTGACCAGATAACTAATAATAGTAATATATTTTAGTGATATGTGGTTTGCATGATGAAGACTTAACTTACACAGAACGTAAATTTGCTATGGAAAAGAAAAAGTCACAACGAAAAGAAAATCTTTCAAAAATTGCTTCTTTAATTAATCAATCATCAAGTGCTTCTTTATTAGTTTATTAGTTCAATTTTTTTCTATATAGTCTGGTTCAAAATGTTATTTTTATGCGTATCCTTTAATTCTTTAAAATTTTAAATATATGTCAAAAAATTTAATTTTTAATTAAATTTTTTGACAATTTTTTTAATTTTTAATTAAATTTTTTTCATCTATTTATAAACTCAAAGAATTTTAAATAAGTTTCTTTTAAAATTCATTTTAGTTTGAAATAAATTATTCTAAAATTATTATTTTCTCATATGAAAAGTTTTCTAAGACTTAATTTGTTTCTGATGCTTTTTGTTTACTTTTTTTGAAAAAACAATGTGCTAAATTTAGTAGACTTTGAGCAGAATTATCAAAATTGTAAAATATTTTGAATTTTGCTAATAGATAAAATGGGAATTAAATTATCGATTTTGGACTTTTCTGTGGTAAAACGTTTAAGAATTCAATTCAACTATGACATAAACCGTCTGTTAAACAACAGACGCATTAACTCTTAAAATTTTCTTGTGCTAAAAATTATACGAATAGAATTTTAAAGCTCCTTTTTTACTATTATTTAGAATAATAGAAAAAAAATTCCCTCTCTGTAAATTTCTTTATTACATTGCATAATTTCTAATATAGTCACAAAATCTTTTCACGGTAGTTCTTAAAACAGTAGATCTGCATGAAAGAATTTTAATAAGGTACTAAAGTATGCATGAAATAAGTTAAAGTTGATTTATTGCCATTTTATCTCCAGCAATTCCCTTTCCTGTTGGCTGAAACGTTCTTTATTATTCATTCCTTGGCGATAATGTCAGCCGATTCTTTTCACAATCAGACTATTAAATATTAATGTTACATTCACACACAATGAACACATAAAATGAGAGAGAGAGAGAGTAAAAGGAAAGTTTGTGACCGTAGAAAAAAATAAGAATGAGAACTTTTGTATTTTGCGTGTCAGTGAAAAATCGACATAAACATTCGTGTTATATAAAAGAGTATGTGGTTAGAGGTAAATAAATTAATTCAGTAATTATAACAACTTACTGTTTTTTTTTTGTTTTTTTTTTTTTGTGAAGAAACTTGCTATTTTTCTCTGCTGTCAATGTGGTAGAATTAAAAAAAAAGATAATTTTGAAAATATATCGATAAGTTTAGAAGTTATGAGAGTGTAAAGTACTAATATTTCAATTTTTTACTTATACTTTTTTTCTGGATATAAAACTCTTTTAATTTCAAAACTATTCATGTTATCAACTTTTGATCTTATTAAACTTAGTGAAAAAATACATAAGATACAATACTTTACTTGTCTAGATATCAATGTCAGATATATGACTACAAAATAGCATATTTCATACATAAAACTTTTATAGGAACCATATAGTAAAATAACACAAGTAGATATAAGTACTCACGTAACTATTAGTACACAATTTTACTTTTTATTTATAAAAACTATAATAACTTTTTATCTATTTATCCTATCAACTTTTTTTTTGATTTACAGCGTGAAATACACTCTATAACAAAAAAATTGACGCACCAGGAAGGAGTTGTCCGATTGA